TAGCAGGACTCCCAAGGATGATAGTTAAAGGAGATCCCGAGTCAACAGCTATCGGGCAGATCTAGGGAGCACTCAATCTACAGAAGAGCAAGAAGGCGAGGAGAAATAAAATCCTGGCTGAGTATTTAGGAATAGATTAGAAATAGATACATAGAAAACTAAGCAAGTGGAAAAAACACAATTTAATAATTAAAAAATTGTCAATTCTAGGAAAAACAAAACATTCAATAAGAAAGGAAATCTAATCATAGTACACTACATGACCCAGCTGTGAATACTTGTGTAATTATAATCGTGTAAACACCGTTTGTTGATCAAACAAAAAAAGTTAAAACATAACTCTACTGGGAGGATGGGAAAGTGGAAGTGTGTTTGGGGAGGGGGGCATAAAACAGCTAAAGTTTCATCTGCTATAGCAAAATTTCAGGTGAAATTGAGAAGTGCAGTAATAGCAGTCCAAGCGTGTATTTGGAATAATGAAAGTAAACACCCAGGTGGACAGCTGAAAGAGTTGCCAGGGGTTGCCTCTGTGCACTGGGAACCAGTGCTGGCAAGGTGACATAAGCCTCTGGCTTATTTGGATTTTTAAACTAAATAAATACATAACTTTGATAAGAAATTTAAATTTATGAAAAATTTAGAAAATTTTAGAAAAATATCCTCCCAAGCATTGCCACAGGGTTCTGTTGTGTTAGCTATTTTAACTTGATGAGACCTGAATCAAAGAGATGGGGGGGTGGGAGAGGAGAGATAAAAGGATTTTTAGGAGGTAAAGCATCTTTACCTGTTTGGCTGTGGGGGATAAAGGAAAGGGAAAAAAAGCAAGGAAACCTCCAGATAACTGGTAAGTGTATTTGGTAGTGGTAGTGGAGAAAGGAAATTCCAATGGAGGGGCTGGCAAAGTGTTCCAGACCCTCTACCACATGTTCTCCCAGAATCTTCTGCTTTTCCTTCCTAACACTTCCCTCAGCTTATGATCACACGTTTCTTTGCATGGTTGGTAAAGATCTGCCCCCCACTACCCCATAAATCCCTGAGGGCTGAGTTTATGCCTGCTTTGCTCTCTACTGCTGCTCCAGGCCCTAGCAGCATCAGGCATACAGTAGGCACTCAATTAAGATCTCCTCGAATGATACTACTCATGGCTCTAATCCAAACAATCTGGTAACCTCTTTTTTTTTTTTTTTTTTTAATTTTAAAAGATGACCGGTAAGGGGATCTTAACCCTTGACTTGGTGTTGTCAGCACCACGCTCAGCCAGTGAGCGAACCAGCCATCTCTATGTGGGATCCGAACCCGTGGCCTTGGTGTTATCAGCACTGCACTCTACCGAGTGAGCCACGGGCCGGCCCACAATCTGGTAACCTCTTGCTACAGTTAGTTAAGAGATAGTGAAAGCAGGGTTGGGTTGGCTGTTCCACAGAGGACCTATATAAATCAGAGATTAATGGAGGTAACCAGAGAAATGAAAAGAGCAGCCTACTCCACGGATGGGCTGGTAGTTCTTCCATCTGACTTAACGGGCACATCTAAAGTGAGCTGTGGTAGTGTAACTTCTGACTTTTCAGCCTGCAATTAGTGCGTTTGGAGAGACTGGGGCCTCATGTTTATGCATTCATACTCAGCTGAAACAGAACAGCTGTCAAATCCCAAACCGTGCCTTGTAAACCTAAGCAAAGTTCATTGTGATGGAAAGTTTCCTCCTGTTTGGGGCCTAAATAACCAAGTGGCCATCTCTGAAACCACAAAGAATTACTCACAGCTCTCCTGGTGTTGACCCAAAGTTTATTGCTATAGGCCAAAGGTGGCCCCCCAAGTCTCCATCAGCCCCCCAAATTGCTCCAAATAAACATGTAATAAAAAAAAAAGTTGCGCACACTACACACCCAGCCCCAAATGGGAGAGACGTAGAATGTGTCCCCTGTCCCCACTTCTACTTCCGGCCACACCACCATCCCTGAGCCCCTCCCACACTGAAATTCTGGAGCACTCACTGCTATTATTTTATCCTTTGATAAGAGTTTAAATATCTTATGGTAAAAAGAAAACTAACTCTCATCATTCGACTAGCTCTTTCCCATTGAGAACATCAGCTGAGTCTCTGCTGGTTAGTTCCTGTCTCAAAATGATTTCTTAGATCATGAATCCAGTTTAACTGAACTAATCCTGAGCCCACAAAATAGCAAACAAGATTCAGGAACACACCTGATGCCCTCTATCCCTCGTTCCTTGGACTCCCACTGGAGGATAAAGCGTTGGTTGTGGTCAGAGTCTGCCCAGTGACAGCCTGGGATGCCTCGCCCAATGCTTGGACAGGGCCTAGCAGTTCCTGGGCCCAACATATGGCCTTCTCCCCAAACTCCCTCCCCTGCCTGAGCAGGTTGGCACTCAGGATGGCCAGGCCAGCCCCACCCTTTCCACTTGGAGCATGATGTGAGTGTGTGTGTGCAGGGGGTTATCAGACCCACTGACCTTTAACTCTGACCTCTCACGGTAGAGCCCAATCTTCCTGGACTCGTTCTGTGCATGGAGAAATGCACAAGGGCCCAAGGAGCAGAGGCCTCGTGGTAAAGCGGTCATTCCTGAGTGGCTATCCACACATGTTGTTGGTAGCAAGTGCTGGGTAAGCCAGGCTGTGACTGTTGGAGTCACCATGAGTGTCATGGACTAGAGAGGAGGGGAAGAGGAAGCATGTGGGAGCCCACATCTGGTCTCCTGTTCTTTGTCCTCAACTATCCAGGCCATAACAGGGATGGCCATTGACAACCACCTTCTGGCGCTGAGGGAGCTGGCCCGGGATATGTGCAAGGAGCTGCCCGAGATGTTCACGGACGAAACATACCTGATGAGCAACCGGTTTGTGCTCTCCACCAGCCAGGTACAGCTCATGCGCAGCCCTCACCCGAGAGGCCATGTAGTGTAGCCAGTGAGCTTTCTAACGAGCTCGGTGACCACAAGCCCACTGGCTGGAGTGAGGCAAGTCCTGCCTCCGCTTCTTATGAGCTATGTGACCTTCAGCAAAACGATGTAAATGCTCAGAGCACTGGTTTCCCATCTTCTAAATGAGAGCCATCACAGACTCCACCTTAGCCGAAGTGGAGACAGGACGGGAACTCACCCGTTCCAGCACCCTATTATGCAATCTTACCTTTCAATCTGTTACCTGAGAGGTGGTGTTCCCCCAGGTGGCCACAGGCTCTGATGCCTGACAGGCCTGAAGTGAAATCTTGGCTCAGCCAGATGCAATGATGTAGCCAGTCAGGTCACAGGCATTATGATTAAGGGCCACATGACCAACAGCAGGAACGATTAGCTGCCAGCCCTACGTCTCCTAATCAGGGCTACAGGCTAGTCCTGCTGCAGGGCCACTATCAAAAACAGCGAAAACCACTGGGGAGAGGCAGCAGTTTAGGAGAGGAAATACAACCACAATCGTCAATTTACTAAAACTCCCCCTCATCTGCGAACTGCTGGACATGGGCAATAGGAAAGGCTGATAAAGCTGTGTTTGAGGATAAAAGCCCACTCAGTAATTTGATTTTGTCATTACGGCAGTGAGCGTGCAGACATGAATAAACGAGGACAGGGCACAACATAAATTCTTCAGGAAACCATCCATGGGCAAAAAGTGCTTTGGAACAGCTTTATGGCCTTCGGCTGTTGAACGGCAAATTTATCTGACAATGCGGTAACTCTATTGGCAAGACTAATCGTTTGTTCTGCCACATTAAAATGGCCAGTGTCACTTCTGAAGACCCAGCTATGCAGCCCCAGAAACCGCCTTCGGCTGTTGAACGGCAAATTTATCTGACAATGCGGTAACTCTATTGGCAAGACTAATGGTTTGTTCTGCCACATTAAAATGGCCAGTGTCACTTCTGAAGACCCAGCTATGCAGCCCCAGAAACTTGTGGGTTTACAACAAACCCAGCCCTGCACCTGCCCAAGAAACCTTTCTATTTTTCCCCTAAGATCAGCTAATAAAATTAATGTGGGGTGTGGGGGTTTTGTGGTGTTGGTGGTTGTCCAATTGGAAAGTAGCATTCCTGGCTTGAATGCCTTCAGAAACATACTTTCTTGGTTTGTGATCCAGATTACAAAATCTCAGCACTCTGAATTCAAAACTTATTAGGCGCATAACTAAATTCCAATTGATGGCAATCTTTGAAATGCCCAATCTTGGGTAATTGTGCATGACCATGACAGGCCGTGGGGAGAGAATCAGACCAGCCAGGCAGTACTGACAGTAATTGAGGATCTGGGGAAAACCGACAGAGAAGATAAGCCAGATTTCCTGCAGTTCATAAATTACTCCCTCTGGGAAGCCATCTAACTGTTGGGTGCCACCAGGGTGCCATTTAGTAAATTACCCTGATTGCCTCTGTGCCTCAAATGGCCTCCAGGTGAAGGAGAGAGTCAGCCCAAGACCCCACACCAGGTCACTCTGGGAGCTTCCATTTCCACAAGAAGAGCAGATTGCACACTGGGGAGTGGGCTTGGGGCCCCTCTTCCTCCGATATGCAATCAGATGGGTTTGCTTTTACAACTCTGGCCGTGTCCATCCATGCTGAAGCAATTGGTTGAGTTGGTTAATTCAGTCAAACCCTGTGGGGAGAAACAGTCAGGAAAGCAAATACCCCATCAAGGCTGCAGGTTGTTGGAATGCCCCACATTCCAGCAGACTTGCAGGTCGCATTTCAGAGCAAATAGCTCCTGACCTATTCTCGCCTCCAGGTGCCCACAACCATGGAGATGTTTTGCTGCTATGGTCCTGTGGTCCCCAATGGGTATGGTGCCTGCTACAACCCCCAGCCAGAGACCATCCTCTTCTGCATCTCCAGCTTTCACGACTGCAAAGAAACCTCTTCTACCAAGTTTGCAAAAGCCGTGGAAGAGAGCCTCATTGCTATGAGAGACCTCTGCAGTCCGCCACAGCCTGCCGAGGGCAAGCCACAGGCAGCAAAGTAAAAAGCCACAGGGCCCAGCCAGGAGCACGAACCATGACTCCTGCCACTGGGTTTGACCTCCCCAAACCCGGCCTTCTGCAACTGCCACACCCTGCCAAACCTCTGCTGTCATCCCTCACCCCAGCTTTCTGCAGCTCTCTGTCCTCAGAGCCCCCCCCCACGCCCCCCAGATCACCCAGAGGCATCACACAGAGCTGGAGGGTGAAAAAGTATGGGAATCTATCGAGGTGCCCTCCAGCCTGTGCACTGGGAAGCGAGGCCAGCCTGGCTCCGAGGCCCTGGGTGAGTGGCATGCACACGGCCCTCCCTCTGTGGTCCTGGGATGGTTAGTGTGCGTGTTTCCTTCCCCAGCAGGACCTAGCACGTCCAGGTGATGTTCCTGCCTAAGAAGGAATGAGTCACCCTATCACATGCAGTATACCTAAGTGAGTCATGAAGGAAGAGGCTAAATCCAGGTCATTACCTCTTTTCTTTTGCGGGGAGCAGGGGACTTTGCTTTCGGATTCAAAGCATTCTGATGGGGGTAGTCACAGCGCTGCACTGAGCCATGCAGTCCTGCAAGCATCCGCTGCCCTACACACTCGCACACCTTGGCCCAAGCTCATTTAATGTATGGGGACCTGAGCCACACCTTTCATTCCTAGGGCAGCCTTCCTTTGAGTTCAGAAAATTGCATCCAGCTATCCTGAAAGGAAAAAAAATGTTATCTGTGACTGCCCTGGAGTTTTCCCAGGCAGCATCAGGGATAGCCCAGGAGCAAGCGGGCGCCTTGCCTAGGAGGATGTACGGAGGACCGGTCCACCCCCCCGGGGCCTGCCATTGGTGTTTTCCTGCTTCTCTGCCACTGCCCCTCCCACTAAACATGCTCCAAGAGATGATCTGCCCCAATAAGTGGAAAGGAGAGAGGGTTGGTTTGGGTTTTTCTATCGTTGTTTGTCTGTATTGTTTTTAAGAGAGAGGGTTTTAAGAAAACCACTCTGACATTAATTTCAGGAAATGATCTTAGTGGCCCAAGCTGGACACCCTTAGATTGGCTGGGCTCCTTTACTCGGAGGATGCTATCCAGAGTTCTGACCAAAACCCATGTGGAGAATCCCAGAGCAGGGCTTTCTGTGGGCCTGGGGAACCCCAAGGGAGAGCTGGCAAAGAGCAGGGCTGGGAGAAGGGCGTGGCCACGCCCAGAGCCAGCCCAGCTGGATGCAGGATGGACGGTGCAGACAGAGTTGGAGTTGAGGTTGTTCTGAGGGGCTGTGATGGTGGAGAGGTGTGAGAGACACTCCCATGGGGCCGAGCAGGGCTGGGAGAAGGGCGTGGCCACGCCCAGAGCCAGCCCAGCTGGATGCAGGATGGACAGTGCAGACAGAGTTGGAGTTGAGGTTGTTCTGAGGGGCTGTGATGGTGGAGAGGTGTGAGAGACACTCCCATGGGGGCCAAATTTTATGGGAAGTCTAAAAGGGCAGGGAAGCCGAATGGGAAAGCAACCAGAAAAATCCAAAGTGTACCCAGCGCAGGGCAGCACAGAGCCCATGCCTCCCCCCACTCCCCGTACACCCCCCGCGAGTGCCACTCTGCTACCCATGGGGGGTTCCTGGAATCCTCCCCATCCTGCTGTGGTCTGTGTGATTCTGAGCAGTCTACTCTGGCTCACGGACCCTGTGTGTGTCCCTCCTTTGGGCCACTGTGAAAGCTGTCTGCACTTTGACCTGGATGGCCACAGGCCTGTTGAGGTGGGGCGGGCACTTGAGCTTTGCTCAGCTTTGTGAGCCCCTGGATTTAGATGGAGGGTTTCTACTGGATGGTGTAGGGGATCTGGGCACTGGCCTTCAAATGTGCAAATTTGAGTCATTGGTCTGAGGGTCCATCTCCTCCCCTTCCACCTCCACCTTCCTGCTCCCCTTGGGAAGTTGTAGCCTACAGGTCCCAGGGTGTCTGGGGATGAGCAGTCCACCTGCTATAAGCTGACCTAAAGCTATTAGTCCCCATCAAATGACCACAGTGCAGAGCCGAGTTCTCTTCTGGTTTCCCCCTGTGGATTTCTTGGCAGGCAGAGCTCTGGTTTTGGGGTCTAGCAGCCCCACCACCTTTGGCCAGGTGACTTCAATGCCCAGAGACTCAAGTCCCTCCATTGTCAAAGGAGGATGAGAATGTCCCCACCTTGCAAGGCTTTGAGGATTGGAAACCATGTGTGTGTAAAGGACCTTGCACAAGCAGTAGGCAGCAGTGCCCACCTTCGGGATGACATTACCCTGGCGGGCACTGTTTGGGTAATTTTCTTTTAAACTACTTACACTGATCTACTAGAACCAAACTCATCTCTGAGCATAGGGAAAGGTAACTCACTCTGTATGTTCAGATACCAAACCACGCACTGTGAAGGCTTCAAGAAGCGTGAACGGCAAATGCTTGGCAGGAGGGAACACCTCCTCTCTCTGAGAGAGGGGCTGGGAGCTGGTCTTCCCCTCCAAGAACAGGTGGGTGCACTGAGTCTTTATGCAAAGGCAACACTGAGCCGTGGCCTTGGGCATTTTTGTGGGGACTCTGGTAAAGGAGATTGTTCCATGTGTCCCCAAAGAGGTGGAAATGAGACAGTCATTTGAAACAGCAATGCATAATGAAAATGTATGTGGCCACCTTACAATACTGCTAAGTTGCTAAAATATATAAAGTTAATATTTGAGTTCTATTTTTATAAAATAGTTCTAGATTTATGGCAATGTGTACATCTGTATTTATAGCCTTTCAGTTTTAATTTATAGTTTTGTCTTTGAAGAAATATATGTATGATTAAAGAACTGTACATTGAAAGCATTATATTCAGATTATTTAAAGACTGTAAGTCTGTATTCAATAAAAAGTAATGCTAAGAAATATGATGTTGGCCATTGTTTCCACCCAGAAATGCTATGATATAATGGTGTAACTCTCTGAGCTGGGTCAACAATGTATTTACCTTTGTCTGGGGTCTGCCAGCAGTAATGGCAAATGTCTAAAAGATACAAGAGCCAGGAGAGAAAAGGAAAGAGAAAACTAAGTCTCTCCGAGTGTGTGGTAGGCTGCCAAAGAGTGGGGGTGAGGGGCAGGGAGGCTTCACGGGATGCTTGTGATCAGGTTGGCAGTAACCTGGGTGTGGAGATGGGCATCTCCACATAAGCCTGCACGAACATGCTAGGCAGCGTGAGGAGGAGGGGAAAGCACCTGGCTCGGAGGCAGGTGCCTGGACAAGTCCAGATCTATTTCTAACTTGCTGTGGACTTTGGAGAAGTCACTTCACTTCTCTAGGCCTCAGTTTCCTCATCTGTACAATGGGAGTGTCAATATCGCCACTATTCTCTTCCAGGATTGTGGAGAGATGACACAATGTGGCCACTGTTTGAAAACTTTAGGAAACGACATAAAAACCTAGCCTTCTTGCTGCGGGCTCATGGACACATGCACAGCCCACACATTTGTTCCAAGCTGCAAGAGCCCCGTGACAGGTGCAGAAGTCCACGTAATCAAGACCGAGTTTCTTACAAATGGAAGCCCAGATGCTTTCCAATCAGACCCTCAAAGGAACCTTATAATGTATGAATTTGCTGGGATCGGAGGGTGGGAAAGGCACTGTTTAAAGAGATAATGGCTAAGAATATTCCGGGAGGAATGTGGGGGCAAAGGAAGAACAGAATCAAGGTAACGTGGGTTTGCTCTTATTTAGCACATATATCACAGGTGGCCTCAAAATAACCAGATGTGGAGAGACTGACGAGACAGGAGCATGAACAGGCAAGCCACCCCAACATACAGAACAATGCTGCCCCTCCCGGTGGTCTCTGAGGCTCCCTGAGGGGTGGAGGTTAGTACAAAATGCAGAGAAGAGTCCTCCCAGGTTCACGAGAACAACTAGAAGTTTCCAAATTCTTCCTAAGCAGTTCTGCTAGAGAGGAACAGAGAGAGAGACTTGTGTTCCCTTTATAAATTCAGCTGATCTCTCTGCATTTGTGTCTCTCTGAGTTTTCCTCTCAAAGAAATCTCTTGAGTCTGAAGGATGAACAATATGCCATCGCTGGGAAAAGCTGGCCTCACATCACATAAAAGGACCTTCCTAAAAGCTCGCTTCTCTCTTGGTCCCCAAGGACTACTTCCGTCCTTGTTCTTCCCCTACCAACTGCTCCTTGCATCTCCTTCAGGGATTTTTCTTCCTATTTCTGTCCCTTATATGTCAATGGACACCTGCATCAGTCCTTGGTCCCAATTTTGTACATTAAGAAGCAGCAATACCTGGCAGGAAGAGCCCCCTCCACCTACAAAAACATATAAAGGTGAAATTCTTGTAAATATATAGTCAAGTTGAAAAGAAAGAAAATAAGGCCTCACATTCCAGAAAAAAAAAGGATGCCCAAAGCACAGCAGTAAGCTGGAGCAAACAGTGCATCAACCAGACAGACCCTAGTGGCTACAGCTGGGTTCACCATCCCTGCAAGTTGAGGGGACATAAAAGCCCTGAAAGGTGGCTGAAGCAGCTAACCTCCCTACACAAAACCAGGACCTCCCGGAAGTGTCCCAACCATGTAAAAATGACTAGAAAAACTCTTCCCATCAGCCCAGGGGAGGAGCAAGGAAGCTTGCCATCCACTCAAGTCTGTAGATGGGAAGAAAAGACGTCCATGAGAAATTAACATCATAAACTCATGCCATATGTGAATGAGGAGTCTGAATATATATAACTTATATGCAAAACAGAAACTCCAAGCCAATAATTCTTAAAAGTCAAATTGGCCTGGGTTGGTAAGGCCCAAAGAACCTCAACAAAATCAAATACAAAACCACTTTTTAGCCTATACACACCAAACACCCACAGGGGGGAAAACACTCCATCAAAGATGAGCTCGCAATCAGAAAATACGAACGACCCGAGAAATGACTCACACGAGGGAAAGCAGCAGGTAAAACAAACAGGAGAATTATCACAAAGGCTGGAGATACGAGATGAATCAGAGCAAATCTATAAAATAGATATTTAATATTATTAAAGAAATACAGGGAAGATAGAGTAGGAGTTACAAATATGTATAGGAGTTGAGGGAAAAGACATTAGAGAGAATGGGGGAAGCAATACTCAAAGAGAAAGTGGCTGAGAATATTCTGGAATTGAAGAAATACATAATTATAAAAATCATGGGTCAAAAAGAGATCATGATGGAAATTTAAAAATACTTAGAGCCAAAGGATAAAAGTACCTCATATCAAAATCTCTGGGATATAGCAAAATGATTAGGGGAAATTTATAGCCTTAAATATTTACA